AGGACAGGAAGAGGAAATGTCAGTATAATTTCATTTCTCCTTCTGTCGGGGCGCTCAAAAACAGGTAGTCGAAGTGGTAAGAATTTCTATCAAGCAAAGTTGTCACTTAGACTAAACCATTCTCATGATTATGGTAAGTTGTACCCGGTAGTCAAAAGATTATTGTTTCGTCTGTTATGGAACATCACAAAGGCTGCATACGAAATTATTGAAGATGATTATATAATATAAATCAAATTATTATCTCATGTTATAATGCATACACGCACATATACGTCTTATGTTTACTAACAGTCATGAGATGGGGAACAATAGATGATAAACTGGATATTGTATGGTAGTAAGGAGGTTGTACAATCATGTATGAAGAGTGAGTGAATATGTTTTTTTATGTTGGTTGGAATCTGACAATTACACTGTCACTCTTTCATATTCATAACATTTTATGTATCAAATTTCAGGACCAAAGATAGCTCTCAGAGAGACATCTATCAGCTTATTTGGGATATTGAAACAAGCACAGTGTCCATAAATTAAGGTTGCTGACGTTTGGAGACCACTTTCTGTGCAGAAATCAACATGTCGTTCAGTCAGTACTCAGATGACCCCGGCCGGGCATCATACCATGCCGGAGCCTCTGGTGAGTATACCACATGGGAGAGGGAGTAGGTCACAAATGTTAATTCAGAAAGGTATATATAAGTACATGTACAGCTGAATGATTATTCAAAAGTGCATTATGTAGAGTTGCTTGTACTTGTTGTAGTTTACATCGCTTCACTAGAATACCTATGATTTTCAACCATCAGTATATGGTGACATTCAGAAAAAAGACGGTTTCAAGGCAGGACACAACTCTTCTCACTGTGTACTGATGTACAAGACTACATTTACTGGATTTTCATGTAGCTGTAGTCGGCAATTTGCACCAATGCATCTTCATTCTTCATTTTCCCATCTTTGTTCTTTCCTGATGATACTACTTTACTAGTACTTTCCTCTAACCTTGATTTATTTATTAACACAGCACATTCCCTGTGTGTTCATTAGAAGAGATTTATCCTGGTTTTCTTCCTTTCCCTTCTGTAGCTGTCCAGCTGTTAGGAAATGGCATCGGTGGGTAGGACCCTAGTTCCAGCATGTTTAAACTTATGCAGTCTGTGATGTGATGTTCTAGTTCAATTTTGGAGTTGCCCCTCTCCATGCATCACCTGTACATGTGTGTGTTGGAAATGTGTTTACTACACTGTTTGTAGTGGTGCATGTAGTGATACTCACAGCATTGCTGATGTGGGAATGTTTTGTCTGTGACTTACCCAGGGAGCAGTGTGCAATACTGGGTGCATATGGACATATGCACTCAGCATAACTGCTACATTTACATAGTTGATGTTGCTATGCTTCAAACCCAACCCTGCCATTTCCTACTAGCTTATTATTATGCTCTTGTACATACATGTACCTCATATGTTGCTTGTACATTTGTATATCACCAGTGTAAGTGTGCTGTACAGTCTATTGTATTTCATGATCATTGTGGCTGATATTGTTCCTTATGTGTTTGTCAAACCTATTATGGACAACACAAGTAGTGGTGATCACTTTTGCACCTTAATGGAGTTTTGTGATGTCAGCAATGTTCGAGTAGAAAATATTGGTACTAGTATATTCGGATAGAACTGAACACAACTCCTGGCTTGTTTACTCTCCAAGCAGAGGTGAGAGGGAGAGAACGCAGGATATTCCGACATGGCTAGCTAAGGGAGGCACATTTCCCTCTCTGTGCCTCCCTTAGCTAGCCATGTCGGAATAGCCTATGTAGCTACGTTCTCTCCCTCTCACCTCTGCTTGGAGAGCAGGCTTGTTGTGGAATTTGGTTAAAACATCACAAAATGTGTTTGTCCTGCAGGAAGAGACAGTTCCAGCGAGTTCACCAGACTCACGCAATGTGTCAGTTCCAATGTTCAGAAGATTACCAGCAATGGTAGGTTATGAACATCTGTAGTGCTGCTGATTATACAGTATAGGTATCAGTGAGTATACTTACACAAAATGGGAGACTGAGCCAGTAATGCCTAATGGTATATACGTAGTATTATCAGGGCTCGAAATACTGGGTGCATGTGCACCCGAACTTGGAGTTGTGCACCTAATTTTTTTTTCTGTGGGTGCACTGGTGCACCCAAATATTTTTGTAGGAATTTTTAACATTAGAAATGTATAATACTAATTAATAGTGGATATTCTTGGTCTTTAAGTATCAGAAAAATAATAAGATCTTTGTTGTAGTATTTGTTTAAAATTTTGAAGTTAGCTCTCATTTTAGATTTAAGCTCAGAATGGAAGCAGTAAGACCTGCAATTAGATTTTGTTTCATATGGTGCACCCCAAAAAAAATGTGTGCACCAAATTTTTTAGGTTGGGTGCACCAGTGCACCTACTCCCAAAAATTAATTTTGAGCCCTCATCATACTACAAATGTAGCAGTTTATCATACACTCTTCATATACTAAAATACTAGAACTAAGAATTTTCTAAATCTGTAGTTCCTTTGAGAAGTAACATTTTGTTTAAGTTCTTGTGGTTCTGATAAAGTAACAAATTATATGTATTTGCCATATCTAGTGTCCCAGGTCCAACGCATGGTCAACCAGCTTGGTACAGCACAGGACACACATGAGCTACGAGACAAACTGTGAGTGGAGAATCATGTACTACTACTTTACAGAATCAATGTTTTGTATGTGGAAGCCACTGGTAAGGGACTGACGTGCCATGTTATGTCTCTTGTGGAAAAACACTGGTGTAGTAATCTATCCGATATATAGTTTGCTTAACAAGGGCAGATTGATTGTAATTAATACAAAGTCAACCTCATTAACACTTAGATACAACCATAGATTAATGCACCAGGTTTGAACTGGTCTACAGTCATGCAGATGTAGTCATTAACACTACTAGTGTCAATGGTCCACAGCAGACTAGGCTGACGTGTGAAATATTAGACACCCGTTCCTACTGATCAAGGTACCTGTCCTGTTGTCCTCAGCCACCAGATGCAGCACTACACGAACCAGCTCGCCAAGGACACAAACAAGTACCTGAAGGACTTGAGCAACTTGCCGAACCCTTCATCACAGTCAGAACAGGTAGCACCTTCTTTGGGTTTTCTTTCTACCTGACACATGTCCTTGTTCTTCCAAGTAACTTCTGACTATTAAGCCCTAAGGCTGCAGTCTTTCATTAAGATGTCTTGTATTCTATTTTGCTCAATCCACAGAGGCAGAGAAAAATGCAGCGTGAGCGCCTGACCAACGACTTTTCCACAGCGCTCAACAACTTTCAGACTGTACAACGTCGTGCTGCGGAGAAGGAGAGAGAATGTGTGTCGCGAGCTCGCGCTAACTCTGGGTTACCCCCAGTAAGTAATGCAAGCACATCCCCTGTAAGTTTGGCTTTTGTTTTGTTTTGTTTTTATTTTGTTTTTACACTATTAGGGGATCCCATCACTTTAGCAGTTAAAATTTACCAGTGTGCTGATTAATTTTTTTTTTCCATTTTGTATACATTGATGTATCCGTTTTGTGCAATATAATAATAATATTCTTTTACTTTTTTACCATCACATGCATATGCATCCAAAATGATGATCATTGTAATTGCAAGAAATGTTAAGCAACTGCAGTTGTTGAATTTTTGATACGTAATACCTGTTGCAGAATCCCTTTGATGATGATATAAGGACGGGTGACGGACAACTTATTGCAATTGACGGGTGAGTCCAGTTGAAAAGTAGTCATACATGTATGTCATAAACTAAATATTCACATTTGTACTTTGCATCAACGTCTTAATTTTCAAATTGGACAAAGGTCTTATACTTATAATGGCAGAAGTGACATACTCAGTAACAGAAGAGTAGGCTAGCTCTCCACTTTCCTAAAGTTGTTCCCTCTGTCATCACCTGTAGAGACCAGGGCGGCTCCAGCATGACAGCACAGATGATGGAGGAGGAGAGTAACCTGGAGATGATCCGGGAAAGAGAGACAGCCATCAGGCAGCTGGAGGTAAGACCAGGCTCCGCACCAAGTACTACATAGGCAGCCTCACTAGATAGCTTGCAGTTAGATGTGCCAAGGCCAGGTGTGACAGGTTGTTCAATATTATATAATATAATATAAGAAGCAGCTGTGAGAAGCTTTTGTGTTAAACCGTAATATTGGCTATACAGACAAATGACAGATACAGATACAATAGTGTCCATGATTTCATAACTTGTCATATGATTACATGATGTGATAGTTGAACACTTTTCTTGTGATCGGAATAAAAATGTATACTGCAGACTCACTGTACATTTTTATGTTCCCTAGGCTGACATCATGGATGTGAACAGTATCTTCAAAGACTTGGCCACAATGGTCCATGAACAGGGAGAGATGATAGGTGAGAACATCTGCACTCCAATCTAAAGGACTTTTCACCTTAGTCCCCATGAACAAAGAGAAATTACATACCACACACAGTTTTAAATAGAACTTTTGACTGTAGGAAAATATATTTCCTAGACTAGGTAAAACTATTCTGTCTCCATGCCTTATCAACTGTACGTGTGGCATTTATCTGCTTACAAGAATAACAAACATGTGCAGACACCTTTATGTACCATTTATATCACTAGAATGAGAGTGCCCATGTGTAAGGACTTTGTTTCACCTCTTACAGACTCCATAGAAGCTAATGTGGAAAGTGCTGCCATCCATGTGGAGTCAGGAAACCAGCAGCTGCGACAAGCCTCTGACTACCAGGTATGGCAATGTCATTGTTTTTCTTCTAGATCTATATGTCAAACTTATGTTCTTGTTACCTACATGTATAGACAGTGCACTTCCCATCCTGGCCTTACTGAAGATGTCTTCCCCACACTAACAACACAACAAATAAAACTTCTTTACAATTGAATTAAAGTCATGATATTTTTGTTTTATGAAATGTATTATGTCTATGTCTTCTAATCTAAACTATCTTTAGCTATTTCAGATTAAGTCAATGATCTGTGTTTATGCCTTGTTAGTACAAACAAATCAATGAAGAAATTATTCAATTATCTTTGAAATCCACTTGCTCTGATAGAAAGCACTGCTGGTAGATGTTGCTGAAAACCTAATGAACTGTCATCTCCAAATATGCACAATGATTCCAATCAATATCTGTAACTGATTCACAGAAAAAGAACACCTGTCTAGTCTCCTGAACAAGACTCCTTCATCCAGTCAGAATCTGAACCTACAAAAAAATCTTTGTCTTCCCAGAAAAAGTCACGCCGCAAGATGTGCATCCTACTAATTGTGCTGTTGATAGTGGGGGCTGTTGTAGCCCTAATTCTCTACTTCACACTGAAGAAGTAAAACAACAACTCAAACCAAGGTGCTGTTCTAGAAAGGAGTGCAATGGAACTTAAAGAACCTAAAAATCTCAATCTTGCAATGTGCAGAAAAAAGGCTGTTTTTTTTTACTTCTACTTGTTTCCTGTTTGGTGTTACATTGCTGTAGAGTTGGCAAGGCTGTAGTAACTTACATGTACCATAGAAAGTTATAGATAGAATTTAGAATGATTTGTTCTTTGCTTTAGCCAAGGGCTTTCACTGAGATTAGGTGACCATGTACATGTACATTATTGGTACAATTGATATTGTATCATGCTGTGAACAGACTCACAATGATGAGGTATATCCTGACAGTTTATTTTCAATTGTCATTACAGAAAAAGTCCCGGCGGAAGCTGTGTATCATACTGATTGTGGGCCTCATAGCCTTGGGGATCATTGGCCTTATTATCTATCTATCTGTACGTTAATGTTGGAATGTATGTGTTCCAAGACAAGCAACACAAGACCTACATCCCTCTCTATCTAATGCAGCATACAAGTGGTGGGGAAAAAGGACAAAAAAGTTGAACTGAAATTCAAATGTGTCTATAATGGTAGTTTTCTACCTTGTTTTACTTTGTTCTCTGAAATTGACAATGTAAATCTCTGTAAAAGTCTCTTGGCAGAAATATCCGTACAGTTTAGTCTTTTGAGCTATTTCTAGGACATTCCTTCAAGTAATTTTCCAATGATGTTTATAGTAGTAAAGCCATTTCTGATAGTACAAGCCATCTCCTTCAATATAACATATACATACATGTATACCTTCTATTCGAAAATCATTGCTGTGTAGGAGAGAAAGCTCTGTCTGTAGATGTCAAGTATTATCCATGTCACGGTGCATGGAAAAATGAATTGCTCTTAAAAGTGATTAACATAGAAGACTTATAAAGTGAAGGGCACTGTACATAGGAAAATGTAGGTTATCAAAAAGTTTAAGAAATGAGAACCTTGTTGCCAAGTACTGAGCAAGATAAGATGTAGCTGTGTGTTGTTGTACAGAATTCTATATTTCTCTTTTTTCAAAAGGACAAATATTTGTATAGCAGCATTGTAGCAACTCTGTAGTTATAGAATGTGCATCTTTTGCAGAAATATTAAAGATAGGCAGAAATAGACACTGTCAAACATATTCATTGAATGGCAAGAATACAAACTTGCTTTTTACTTCTTCATTTTGGTCTATGCCATTGCAAGAAATGGAGAAAAAAGTGTTGAAAAAAAGTATGAAAGTTCTAATTGTCATTCAAGATGGCCAGGAATGTGGGTCTTGTGTGGGTCATGCAACAACTTAAGAATTTCCACTGATACTCTGTAAATACTAACTCCAGTGGTGAGTTAATTTATGCACTGTCAAATTGTAGAAGCATTTGTATTTCAGAATGTGTAGTTCTGACATGTAACCTTGCAAAGAAGGAATGTAAAACAGACCAGGATTAAAGATACATTGGAAGACATTTACTATATGTATTCATCAAAAACAATTGTTAGCATTGCATTCATATTTACAAAGTCTTCTCATAATCATATGCTGATGTAGCATTTTGTGCTGTACTTCATAGCATACCAAATTGAAAGCAAAATATCTTGCAGTATCTTTAGTCAGAGTACTAATTGTCAACACTCACAACTTTCTGCATGCCGTATTTAAGAAAGCACACACTTTCAACATCACTAAAAGAATTTTCCATGTGTACATAATTGGTGTATTATATAGTCATATGTATCTGGGCATAAATAATAATTTAATGATGTTGGAAATCACCAACATTGGAATTATTGTTACAATCAATCTGCAAGTTTGCCCTGTTTACAAGTGTATGCTTCTGGATATATATTTCATTGAGGCTGGAGTCTGTTATTGAAAAAAATTCTGGAACAGTTGTACATGTTTTTCTGTAATTGTGTATGCTGCAATGTGCTACAAGGCAGCAGTGTCACATTATTTTGGGTAAAGGGAACTTCACACAATGCAAGATTTTCACAGGAGTTCTAATGCTTTAACATTGTATGGTTCTCTGAATATGTTGAAAACAAACATCACTGTTCTTTGCAAGTGAATGTTGAATATTTTTGGGATTAATTGCTTGCATCAGCACAGGTGGTAAAATTACCTTTTTGCTGTTTTATTCTACCAGTATGTCAGACTGCCATAGCAATCAATAGCCTCCACATTTCCCTGGATTAATATGCATTGGTCTGGTAAATTTATTTTGATCCACTTTTTTATTTGAACTGAATTGTGAGGATTTTAGTTGGAGGATTTAGTTTGTTATTCTTTCCCTTTTTGACGGAAAAGAAATTTGATCTTTGATAAAAAAAAGCTATTGACACATTATATATCACACAATGATATTCATGCTGGTTCAAGTAAAATAAGACTACAAAGGTCTCACGTAACATTAAAAAATTAATGAATTCAAGAAGGTTACAATGTACTTTCATGGTGATGATATCTGTTGTACTTGAATGGTTAGTATGGTTACATAAGTCAACGTCTTTCTTCCAGATACCTAAATGAGTCAGCCTCAGAAAACATAAGATCAACAAGACAGAATGAATGAAAGCTTGTCTTGAGAGACCTAACTGTATATACACAAATGTATTACTAAGAGTCCCATTAAACCATGATCTTAGATTGCCCTTCACGTCTTGGCATAGCAGATGACATCGAAGGCAGAATCCAGCTGGCCAACCTTGCAATGAAGAGCATGTGGCACATGTGGGGAGCAAAGGCTGTCTCTCTGGAGCTGAAGCTAAAGCTGTTCCACGTGTATGTTCTTCCTGTCCTACTGTATAATGCCGGAACTTGGGGTTTAACGGAACAGGTAGCTAGCAAGATAGACAGATGGCATCGCAAGCAGCTACGACGCTTAGCCGGCTATTACTACCCCTGGCCAACTACATCTCTAACAGCAAACTCTATAAGAAGTGTAAGGCTTCACCGCTGCACAACGAAGTACATCGACGTAGGTGGACACTCTTTGGACATATATTACGCATGCCTCTTGATTCACCTGCTCAAAAGGCACTTAACATCGCCTTTAGTAAGAAACTCACACCTAGGAGAGGTAGGCCCCGTGGAGGCCTTCTCGACTGCCTGGTCGATGATGTGAAGCTGTACTTCCATCAGAATGTCCAGACGGCGCCCTACATGCTGAAATGGCTGCGGGAACAGGCAGCAGACAAGGCACGATGGAACGGAACTTTTAAGACTATCGATGTCACACACTGATTTGGTGTGCCAATGACAGTTTGATACCAGTTTATAGAACTGTATTCATTTGCCACCAAGAACAGTATATTATTATTATTATTATTAGATTGCCCTTGGCTAGATTCCACCAGGCCTTCCTATGGGAGTATGGACCGTAGAATTAGCCAAAAGAGGGGAAAAATATTTGTGAAATTTCTTGCACATAAAGCTCTCCTTGCCTAAGATACTGTCACCAAACAAGACACTGCCCCTGCTTACACCAGGTTATTACTATGATTGCTCCTGAGAGACAATGTATCCATGGCTGCTCATGAAATATTGATGTCAGGGACCTCTGTCTCCTAGCAACCCTGGCGGGAGGTTTGTAGACATGACATGTGTCAAAGGCAATTAGAAAGAATTTTCTGTCTATAGTGCAGTGATGTTGAATTACACACCATGCACCACTACTCTTCATGCAGAGGTTTGGGTTTTGGCTTATTTTTGGTGTGTTTGTAGGCTTTTTTTATTGAGCTTTCTTTTTTGCACCAGCACATAAAAATAAGATAATAGTGCAAAAAGAAATCCTGAGAAAAAAAAAAACACACCAAAAATAAGCCAAAACCCAAACCTCTGCTTGAAGAGTACCCACCACCATTACTCTGGCAGTGTCAACCTCCTTTTTATCGTAAAAAAAAAGAGGCTCTACTGGCACCCAGTATTTTAGCTAGCCCTTTGTAAATTGGCTAATAAAAGATAGCCATCAATGAGGACAAACTTTAGCAGGAAATTATTGGTACAAAATTGGTGGATACATTTTCTTTGCTTTTGAAAAAAAAAAGGTTCAGAATAACTAGGCCCTGGGAAACGTCTTGTGTATAAAGTGGTCTTAACCCACAAGTTATTAAGGTTGATTGTCTCCATATCGACCTGTGTGTGTTGTGAATCTATAATGAGCCATACACACTCCAGTGGTGGTGGGAGCCATGAATGGCCTTAATTGGAGCACCATGGTAACAGCAGGGCAGCAGTGTAAACAAGCCATGCACCCTGATATTAGCTGCTCTGTGATCAGCCATTTGTGATCTTTCCAACAATTATACAAGTGTGCAGGCAGGATATTTGTGCCTAAAAGAAACATTCTGTAATGGAAGCAAAGTCAAATCTGTACCAATCTGGTGTTTTCATCCCATCCATATAGGATATTCACAATAAATACAGGACATTTCATATGACCTCTGACAAGATTTGATGCATCCAGGCCATATAGAATGTTACTTGAAATGTTTTATGTACATTTTTAAGACTGCCGACATCTTTGACTATTTAGATGATGTTTGTCCGAAATACAGTAACCACATTGAAGAACCCATTTCCTGGACTACTTGTTTTCAACACATACTTTGCACCATGAAGAAGAGACGATCATTCATTTCATATCAGCTTTTTATTGTGTAGTGAATCTCAAACATTAAAGTGCTGAAAAAATTTTGGACAACATGTCCAGATTTTCATAATGAAATAGTATTCACGTTTCACTGGTGTCATTTCAACACTAGTACAAAATGCAAAATATACATAAATCTATCTACATGGCACTGTTTGCAACACACAAGTCTTTAATGCAGCAATCATGTAGCCAATAGTATCTTAATATATACATCATGTTACCTGCACACATAAACACACACATATTTTCACCTTCATATTAATGTTAATATTCAGTTTTGTAGACCTCTATGCATTCGACTGATTCTCATTTGGCATGTAAATGGTACATCACTGCACATCAAAAATGCTCATGTTCACTGCATTTTGAATATTCCAAGCACCCTTGTATGTTTATATTGGCAAATTTAATATAAACCCTTTGTATTTTGAGGTCAATGTGATTTGTCATTTTAGACACTGTTTAAGTGGCTTATATTATTTAAAGTGGCTCAATGTACTTGCCACTGGGCAAATATACAATGCAGATGAAGCACTCAAACCACACTGTAGAGAAACGTTCACACTCCTGAGGCAACTTGCACAGATCTTGAGGTAGGTGTCTTGAACAGAGTGTAGTGTGTGCTGATGAGCAGTAGTTTTTGCACATGGCACGGAGTCTCTTAGCTAGTGGCAGTAATGTCCTCTTTAATCTCCATGTCCTGTGGAGGGTTTTCTAGTGCCTTCAACTTGGCCTCTCGTACTTTCTTGGCATGCTCTTCCTTCTGTCGTAGCCTGTCCCGCAGGGCCTTGAGATGGGCTTCTCTTTTTTTCTCAGCTTCATTTACTTTTTCTTCCACCTTCTCAGCCAGTTCTTTCTGGTGTTCAGCGAAGGCTGCCATGGGATCCTGTGTGGTCTCCTTTATTCTGGTCTGGATGGCCTTCTCCCTGACTTCCTGCTCTTTTCTCTGTGAACATAAGGACAAGGAAAATTTAGATCAGTTTGCAGGTAAATCCATCGTCAACTAACAGACGTTCTCTTTGCTTGTATTGATAAAGAAGCCTTTTTCAGAATAAAGGACAAAAGACACCATTAATGCTGGATCAGATAATTGTCATGTCTTTGATGTGTAGATAGGCGCCAACAAATTGTCTTCATCATTCTATTGTCACTCAGTATAATACTGATGGTTGTGTCACCCTGTCTGGCAAGGTGCTTTGATGACTAGTGTTTTTCTTTGACAAAAAGTGCTCAGTGCAAAAACCATGATGTTGATGAATACACACCACATTCATTGAAATGGCGTTTATGTACACAAAACCTATGTTTGGTAACGGTAACCAAGTCTTTCATGGCAGTTAATTATGTCTGCACTGGAATTTACCAGTCCACCTCCTCCCTAAAAGCACTGTTTGCCCCAGGTAACTCCTGACGTCAGACATCCTTTGTTCACTGCCAGTTCATGGCAGCACAAAGTTTTCTCAGTCCAAATACACTGATCACCTTTATCCTTGAGCTATTTTAGTAGTGTCCATGAGGTATTGTGCTCTGGACTAAAATAAATTAATCAAAGTAGAGGCCTCCGCAGTTTTTCTTTTTCAACCCTTCACTAAATTATGTTTCAAGTCTCACCTGTCTTCTCTCCTCTGCTTTCCTCATCTTTTCTTCCAACTCTTCCTTGGTGAGCTTCTTCTTCTTCCTTCTTCTCTCCAGTTTAGCCAGCCGTGGTGGAGGCAGCTGGTTGACTGGTGGTAACTTGTTGGCTGGTCCCAGCTGGACCTCGAAAGCCAGTGATCGACCACCGCCGCTGGTTTTAGGCCGCACCAGACCTTCTTGTTGTAGCTGCCGCAGGATGTCTTCTGACCTCTGCTTTCCACTGCGTGTTCTGCTAATGGCTTGTCCGGTCAACTCAAAATCTGCAGAAAACAGGAAGAGTCAGGAAGGTTAATGATGTGAAAAATTCAAGTGTAATATCATAATGTCTGTATTCTGTTAAAACCCTCCTACTTCAGTTTTTGGGGATAAGCCAACCAGCCTAACATTAGTAATGAGTTTGTACACCTTTGTACTTTAAGCCAACAATGTCTAGATCTAATTGAGTAGAGTGATTTTAGGCAAACAGGATGCATGGTAGTGATTTGACGCATGTGAAAAGCGGCCAGAAGCTAACATCCACATTCTCCTTGACAGAAGTTACAAAGGTCACATGTTGCCATGAAACTGCAATAACAAATGTTCTCTGTTCAGAGGCCTGTTTTTATGATGATTTATTCCTCCTTTAGATTTGTCTTCTTTTGAGGAGGATTTTTTTCACATCCTTGACATTTGCATTCTTGTCACAAGTTTTGATTGGATTTCAAAAGTAAGTCCGGGCTGTTTACTTTTGTATCTATTACTTAGAGACCACAAACCTCCGCAAACAATGAGCAGGGCGACAGGATAAAGGTAGATTCCCAGTCCCAGAGCCAAAAGGTTTCATCCAAATCCGTGATCCCATGTCCCACGCACTGTTGTGACAAAACCACCCCCCGTAGCAACGTGTAAAGCTTTGGAGCACAACCGGCTAAACACTAAACAACCGGACAATGAGCCACTCCCCCACACAGCGGGGGTGGGAAGTACTCAGGTAAAGAAAACCTAAACATGAGTACGTACGTCCAAATCTTAAAAGGTGTTGGGCATTGGGTGGAGACGAGATATGAGGTGTGAAAATCTAATCAAGGCTGAGGTCTGATTAAATTTTGAGGTCATCAGTGCCATTGTAAAGAAGATAATTGGTAACGAAAGACGACTTGTGTTAAGTAACCGAACCGGTGTTCTTTTCACCAGTCACCTGAGAAGGGCGTCTTTTCATGCAGGTCTTTTGGGTTCGCTTGGCTTGGCTTGACCAGAACTTGCAAAAATTAGAGTGCGATGTAAGGAAGCCATACATTAGGTGGTTATGTCGATAAAACGCGCCTGAACAGGTCCGTATCTAGGCATCCACTGTTTTGGAAGCAATTTCCTGGTCTAACGAGTCTTCGACGTCATTCGTCAACTCCGGGAAAGATATGCAGGTGTGATGAACTTAACTTAGCATCGGAAACAAGTGCAAAAGATTGTAAATGATTTGCATGCACATGGTAATTCAAAGCGCCTTGATGTTGCTTAATTAACGTGCATGTTCACACATTTGTGCGAAGACTGGGAGATGTGTATTGAATACACACAACTTACCTGGAGTTTTGGGTCGTCTCTCTGTCTCTACTTGTTGCACAGCACTTGGGTTAGAACTTTCCGTAATGACATGAGCGTAGTCATCTCCCAGCCCGCTGTCACCGGATTTGTTGGACGCCTTGGATGTTGCAGAGGACACAAGTCTATTTTCTCTGTCTGACTCTGAGCTGGAGTCGAGACTTCCGATGGATGAGGTCGACCCTGATAGTCTTTTCACCCGGCTCGACTTTCCGGCCGAACCTTTTCTGCTCTTCCGACTCTTGGAGGATCCTTCTCTGACGTCTTTGGCGTTCGTCTTCGTTCCTGTTGAATCCCAGGCTTGACTGGCCGGTACGACTTGGGTGGCTTTGGAGCTCCCACAACCCATACTTGGTGAACTCTGTGATCGAGTTGTGTAGATTGGTAGTCAGGAAATGGGAATTAGCCTGAAGGGTGGTTGTCGATTTGGCAAGTGTATCTCCTCAGCTGCGTAGCTATGTCGCTGGCCGCTTGCCTCTTTCCCTCAGTAACTCTGGAGATTGACCGGAATCGTCGTGGGAATGGCAGCACACCTCCAGATCCAAAGCTAGCGTCACTGTCAGCCTTTTCTCGCCACCTAACTCAGCACGTACAAGCTTCCCTGACTGCCCACTTGAAAGGGGATCCCAGGTTTTGTTCTGGCGGCATTGCTTACCATAGCAACCGGCCTCGACCAATCAGAGGCAGACAACCTGTTGATACGTCGCCATGGCAGAACGCCAAATTGAGCGCATCAAACCGACAATAAAATATTTGAGCATATAAGCAGTCCTATAACATTGAGTAAACTATTTATATGCATGCAAAAATATACTGCAATACATATCCCATTGTAATATGGTACATTTTGTATTAAATTGGGTCGCGACCAGAGTTAAACCGTCCTTATATTTTAGGACTCATTGTCGAGCGGTCAATTGTAAACAAAATGTTCGATAGGTTACGACGGATTACGAACGCTCCCGAGGATTGACGTCAGAAGCCGATGTTTTGTCAACGCCGTCCTGGTCTCCCCGAGCACATCCGATGTTTCCCGACTGTTTGCTTATTTTGGTTACCTGTTACTAAGTACACCGAAAGGTCAGTGGGCCGCTGGTAGGAGCTGACAGTCGGCTGTGGGTACGGCGGGGAAACCAGATCGAGATGGATGGATGGCCATGGATGTGATATGGTCTAACAAAGCTTGTCTGAGTTTGAATGCCCATCTGGTTAGCTTGCTCTCTAAAAACACAAGAGGTGGAGGGGTGGGGAATATAGTACGTTTAGACAATATGGCGTTTCCCCCAAGAATATGTCTGTCGATTTTATTCTCCGCTTACAATAAATATCTATTGAATCCTTGGACTCAGATTACTCAGATCTGTTGCTTCTTTCGCATAAAAGAGTTGGGGTGACAATTAACTGTTAGTCACTGTTTTCATTTGGAGACAATGATTATTCATATAACGTTAGTTGACTGATGGCTCATCCCATTAACACAATTAGTCTCCACCAGACTTCTTTTTCGGGCTAAATGAATCGTAAAAAAATTAGCTTCTCTTGCCAATTGATACCCTTTTTAGGCCGATTTCTACGATTCATTCAGCCCGCAAAAGAAGTCTGGTGGACTCAGGTGGAGACTATAACACAACGAAGTCTCCATTAGATCAGCAACATTGCAGAGCTCCCGGTTTGATATCTCATGTTCTGGACATGCTGGGGATAATTCTTAATTTTTGAGCGAGAACTCAGTGCTGTGGAGGTGTCCGCTTTGTACAACAGTGAACGATGAAGCACAGAGATATATCACAAGGTGCATTTTTACAGGTGTAAATCGTAAAACCTAGCCGACCGTTGTCAAGGTCAATGAGCAAACCGCCGTTATTCTACCGCAAAAGAGGAATTAGACTTTTTTTATCAATGTCGTTTAATAACCTATGGAAACGAACCATATTATGGCATGTGTCATGCAAGGGATGAAGAGGATAAGTAATAAGCACGACCAAGTAAAAACGAACCATATGCCAGACGGTACCCGGAGGCTCACGCATGCGCATTTCGTGCTGGTTATGTGCTGACCCATGGATACCTATCGGCAGGTGAGTTTAATGTCTGTGAAGAAACTTGACTCGTATCTTTTTTTAACCCTCCCACTGCCGCGTGTGTGCCTATCAAAGATTCCCCCTTCTCCCTAAATGTTCACGGTTCCCGCTTTTGGTAACAGACTACCGCCATTAACGTTATACGTTAACGCCAATTCTTTGTCTCTCTCTCTCTGTTTCTCTATGCCAGTCAGTCTCGACTTTCATGTTTATAGTTATACTATATACGAACCTGTGTCAAATGCGGCAAAGTATGCCGCTCCAGAATTGGACTCTATAGCCACAGCCGGCGGTGTCTGAAGAATGACCACGGCGCATACTCCATCGTCTCCCGAGACGGAAGCTTAAGGATGCCAACATATACGAACCGGTATAGAGGCGTGGACTGTAAGATAGTTGAGGCCTGCTAGCTGCCTGTGGTTTTGCTGACAAAAAAAGTTCGTCCTGTCTGTATGGGGGCTGTTAGGCCACACCGAGTTAATTTTATGGATGACATCCGCTGAAGACTCCAAAACTAGTGCGCGCGGGCGAATAAAAAAAATTCCGGCCAAAAATAAAAATGCTACGAAACCATAGGAATACAAAGCTGATATGTGAATTTGCGGCAGTACATAGCGACGTACATGACAAGCCGGCACATACTGGCTTTTTGCGGAATTTATGAGTCGGCACTGTACGTATGTACTGAGTTCTCGAGTCGTGGAGCTTAGGCAGCCTGGGTGCCGCCCTCCAGCGTTATAATTACCACCACCACCCCAATATGGGCCCGTATTGTCGCTAACTACCATGGACTATCCAGGCCTAGAGCCAGGCCAGAGCCTCGGAGGACGTGATCTGAATGACACCAGAAGCTGGGTGTGTCAAATAAAGTTTGTTTAGCACAAGTTGCGTGAGACCGGACTGTAGTGTTGGAAGCTAAAACATATGCATATGCATTCTCTGTGGTAGCCGCACCCGAATAAGACACAGTGATGGCGTACAGGTCTAGCATTACATTAGACTTTAGTGTTGAATTGTTTCTTTGTTTGAACCATTTTTGGCGACGTCTCAGGGAGGAGCCTAATGGTACAGTATTGTGTGCAGTTTGCAAGAATTCTAGGAATGGCACAGGCATTTTATCCACAGGAATGGAATGTCCACAGGCATGTCTCTGACCCACATCTATGCCCACATTCCTGGAAACCCTTGGGAAGACCTCTCTGCCCCGGATGGCCCTACTTTCTGTGACCCCGGGGCTCGTTCACTATACACTCAGGGGAGGAGTGCACTGTATCTGTCTAGACTTAACAGGTACCAATAAGTCTTCCTCAAAATCATGAAATGATGGCAGTGCGCATGCCATGCAAACAATAACCCTAACAGCAACCACCGTCGCCATGGCAACGTATGTTTTCATTGCCAGCCTTGTTATCCATTTGTAGGGGCTGGGATCCCTATACCCTTTACACGCTTTTTTTGTTGACATGGTTTCGTCTGAAAACAATCGTACATTCTTGTGCTATACATACATACATCCATAAACACATACATACGTACTTAAAAAGGTATGCAAACAATAGAGGTCTCAATTTGTCTTTCTCATTGTTCGTTTTAATTATATGGCATATTTTGTTATTGACTGTAACATTTATTACTATTTTTATTATTCATATGTATAACGGTCTTTTTAGTTTCGCCTCAAGATTCGGTTTGTCTTGAAGTGTTTTTGGCGACGCCTCAGGGGCGGAGCCGTTGGTATAGTACTGCGATTGAGTTGAAAATATTCTAAGAATTCCGCCAATGCATTCCCTAGGGAATTGCTTTTTCGCTATACCTATGACTTATTCTCCAAGCAGAGGTTGGAGGGGAAGATCGTTACCCCCGCTAACGATCATCCCCACCAACCTCTGCTTGGAGAGTAGTCGGGCCAGCCTTTACACATAGGCTTGTGGCATGAGACATGCAGTAGTCTGTACAGTGTTTCTACGATATTTATTTTATTTATTTATTTCAGCTTCATTACAAAGTATGTAATTGGACAGGGGGAACAGGTCTAGCCTTTGTCTTAACTATGTGATGATAGTGATGTTTTGTGTAAGGGATTTTATTCATTTGTGTGGGTGTTTGCGTCAGTATTGCTTTTTTTTTATTCTTGAATTTTTTTTGCTTTCACGGTGCTGCTAGCCTGGGTGCCATCCGAATTTGCCCGTAGCCGTTACAAATTCGGATGGCACCCAGACTACGATGCTGCTGCATTCAATGCTTATTTTTCTTGCGTGAAAAACTTGCATGCACACCCCGATCCTTCCACAACTTGGCGTCGTGAATTCCTGCTATAGTCTGCATCTCAGGATGGACTTGGCGAAGTTTACCTGTGGTCAGCAAGAGAAAACAGAACATAAATGAATCTATGCCAACCTTTCCCTAGCTTTGCTCTTAAATTAACAAGATTTAGGGTCATGTTTTTAGAAGTAAATGTAAATATGCAAAGCATGTGAGTCAATACATTTTACAGAATGCAATGATGCGCACATCAAACCAAACAAAGGTTGAAAGTCATATGTATGTTCATTCATCAAGAACGATGTTACAGTACAATAACACATGAACTACATGTTCCCCAGATCAACAGAAACGGCAAATATATTGTTTATTTGCCGAAACTGTTAGAAACAGTCAAGCAGAGCTAGAAGCGCTTGGTATCTCCAATGTAAACCTGAGTGAGTTGCATCGTTTTAAAGTTGTACATAGAGGGTAACATTGAGGAGCCTCTAAGAATAAAGTGCAGTTTAGCATTATCTGACATATTATAAGGTTGACAAGATGACCAAGTAAATCTGCAAGATTGCCAAAAAGTTCCGATCTCTCATTATTGTATAATGGACAATGTAGCATGAAGTGCATGACAGATTCGCAACGACACCCGCATCTACAAGAGGCACTGGTAGAGAGTCCTCGGGTAAACAGACTGTGATTGAGAGCACAGGTGCCGATGCGGAGCCGAACAAGAGGGGCGCAGGTGTACCGCGGGCCACAATTGTAATAAGGGGGACAAAGGGGGCGTACTAATCTAATAAGGTGTTTCCGGAACAAGGATATAATTTGTTTGGTCTCTAGGATCTTCACTTTAATCACTTTTGCAACCACTCCAAAAGAATAAGAACCTAAAATGTTGGAAGGAATTCTAGAGTAGTCTACCAGTTTACACGGCGGCCACGACGCACATATTTACCACTCGAAAGGCCACGACACACCTGCCGACCGAGGTTATATTAGTCTTTACCAGGCTGGAAAAATTATAGCGCCAAATAGAGCGAGTTGGGCCAAATAGAGATATATGTGTGGCAAACTAGACACTACCAAAATGTTCTTGTTTTTCCTTGTGCAAAGAAAATTTTTCTGTCAGCAAGAATGTTATTCTTTCAACAAGAATCTCCGTTTCAATAAAATTCAAGAAACCCACGTTGTTCTTCTTCTAAGAATTTTTTCCTACAGCTAATTAACCAATATTTTAGGAGTATCATTCTTGTGGCAAGCATTTCGGGTTCTTACACGAAGAATCTTTTAGCTTTTGTAGTATCAGTTTCTTGAAACTCTTCCCTTA